GAACAGGATGCCAAAGGTCTTGGCAGTCGTGCATAAACAAACGCCAGATCTCATCCTATACCCTCGTTGGGTGCTTCGAGCTGGAGCAAAAGGTATTGGTCATGCAGAAGTGCAGGTAGAACAGGGCAAAAGGGAGTGTACTGATCTGGGGAAGTTATTGTGGAATGTAGTGTTGTTTTTGATCACAGCAAATCTCAGAGATAGCCCGAGCATGACTTCACGCGAAGAAGAATCACCGGGAAACTGAAGACAGGACAGTTGTGTTACGAGCTGGCTAGGAGGTTCTGTGTTAGCTACAGATTGGGTTTTAGTTGACACTTTTGAATGTGGGCGGGCTTCCTTTGAAAGTTGGGTCCCGCCACTATTGAGTCGCTGGTACCTAGTTCGACTCGCTGGTACATCGTTCGACTCGCTGGCGCAAAGTTCGATTCGCTGGTGCAACGTTCGATTCGCTGGCGCAACGCTCGGATCCAGCGATTCGCTAGCGAATCGCTCGATTCGCAAACTATGACATCGGCCTTAGGCTAATCCTTGGAGGGAGGAGGGTCCCAGGTGGGTCAGCCAATTACAGTGTGGCAATTCGAAAGTGGGAGATCACAGTCACGAGCTGTTGTTCAGGTAAGAAGCGCAGGCAAAAACATTAAATCGAGGGGGTTCAGAGAACCTAGTTCAATCTTGTCGTATACCCTCGGCAGGAAGCCCTGTTAACGCAGAGAAAGAAGCAGACGGCGTCTGCGCACCGAGTCGACCAACCTTCTAGTAGCGGTTAGCGTCAAGTTAAATATACATAGTCAGACATCATTGATTCTACGGCGTGACCTCAAAAATGCGACATCTGGAGCCCGGGCGCAACAGATCCCTAAAACTCTGCATCCCTACTCCGGTCGAATAGCGAAGTCCTCGTGATCAAGAACAGGGGGAGGCGTCCAGAGGATTCAGGGTTTTGAAGAGACCAATGATGAGTCCCCATCCTTGGCCGAGGCTCGCTGTAGCCTACGTCTATTATTCGCGTCGCTTTTGTTCGTTTTCTTTGTTCTACTATTACACATAATATTAGGTTGTCCCAAAGTTCGTGCGTATTTTGAACTTCTTTTGAGCCTACTCTATTTCAAGCATGCATTAACCTATCATCATTATATGTACCACCACTATCAGTGACTTGTTACCAACATCCAACCAAGATTGGCTAACTTAACTCTCAAAGGCTGGCAGTTATGAGCTGAAAAAGGCAGTGAGGTCGATTTTGAGGTGCTCGTGGGAATCGTATTTTTTGTCGTCAAGAAGGCGGCTGAGCAGAAAGGGCAGATGTCTTTCGAAAGAGAATGACTACCGCTGCACGATGAATGTGGTAGGACTTTTCAGCTGGGCTTCGATATTCAGAATCGCTTCATTTTCGAAATGTGTGGTCTCGGGTGTCGTGGAGCGTACACACTTTTTCGAGTTTTAACGACATTTGTTGGAGGTTTCACCGTGAGTCTCTGCCGTTGATCTCCCTACACTTGAGTGAATTCATAGCTATAATGAGGGAGATGTCTCTAGTGGTTTACTCGAGAACGCTCCAAAAGAGGGGCATGGAGGAAGTCCATGTCATCCTTGTCGGGTACTCAAGAAGATTTTAGTTTCCTTGTCATCAATAGGTTATTTGAATATCAAGAAAATGTGTCAAGGAAGTAGAGGACGTTGATACGAATTTATCACAGCCTTTCAAAGTGATCTATGATATAACCAATGCGGTGGACTGTTCAAGCAACCAGCCATCCTTCACAGCGAACATAGTTCTTGTTTCTGTCCAAATCTCGTAAATCTTGAACTTCAGACTTCCCAAGAACGATTTCGCACGCCTATAAAGAAAATCTCGAAGATACTCTCAGCATTGTCGGCTATCATTCCAACAAAAAGTTCTGTGAAGCTCAATACATATTTTGGACAGTGTCCAACTCGTCTTAGGCGAATGTATGCTCTGCGCCTACACGTGTGACTGGCACGGTGGCAAGTCGACCTTCTCTAGCGAGGTGCTCACAAGGAAGCTCTTTCAGGAAGCCCAGCTTTCTCAAAACGGTTTTTTGCATGATATAGGGGTACGTGCATGGAACACAGAACTGTAGTTCATTTTTCCTGAGCGGCCCTCTGAATACCAAAAAAGGGGTGATGAAGTGGTCCGTGGTTCGAATCCTCGTGACAATTTTTTTTGCATTTTGTGTTGGCGTTTCAAAATTCGCGAAAAATAGCGTCAGCGGAAACAACTTATGTCATATCTATAATTAGGACCATCAGCAACCTTTATACGTAGACTTTGGCTAAAAAACTGGTGAAGAAAGTTAAGAACGGCAGTTCCTTAAGAAATTTTTCTTCGCTCCTTTTTTGGTATTCAGAGGGTCGCTCAGGAAAAATGAACCACAGTTCTGTGTTCCATGCACGTAACCCTATATCATGCAAAAAACCGCTTCAAGGAAGCTGGGCATTTCTCCCTGGTTTATATCACACTTGATCGTGCTGACCTCTTTCAGCAAATTTTGTCATAGCCTTTGGAGTAGACCCGCCAATTTCACTAAGCACCGTTGTTAGAGAGTGGAGTGGAGTATGGCATCATGCCAGTCGCGATCGCGTGCAATCGCAGAGTATGACACCTAGCTTACGGGTTCACTACAGATCCGATTTTTCTATACTTCCATTCTCAAATCATTGTCTTTACGCGTCACCTGAAAAGATGTTCGAGCCAACACAAGACTCTGCATCTCTAGCTGTAGGGTTAATAGGAGTGCCATCGTCAGCTTCTTTCCATTTTCGTCTCTTTTGCCAACGATTCTTTTCTTGCTACTACCCTACCAATCCTGAGTCCATTGCAATCGCATTTGCATGCCCAAAAACTGCAGGTATGAAACTCTACCATCTGTTGAGAAGTTCTCAATAAGAAGGTCATATTTGAAATTCTTCTTGGGGAAGGTTGTATTTGATGGTTCTAAAGAGGATCGCGATGGTAGAAGAAGTATGATTTATTGGATGCTTGTGTTGAATTTTCTATATGTTGCCCTTCACCGCCAACGTCAGTTTCGGAGGGAGGGATTACGAGGGCGGGGTTACAGCTTAGGTATGTGGTACACAAATTCGTGCTATAAAAACAATGGAGATGTGAAAGGGAAACGGTGAAGCGGCACATCGTAATGGCTTACCCTGGATTCTACAACCTTTGCCGTCAGTTAGGCCGCGTCATAGGTCGCTACTCCGGAGATTAGGATAGTAGGCGACAATGGAAATCATATGATTGACGCGAGATTTTGTATTAGGTTGTCCCATAATTAGTGAATCACTTTGGGTATTTTTGAATTCAAATTTTTTTCTTTTTTATGGAGTCTTTGCTCATCCAAACATACATCTCTGTCATCTACAATGTATTGCCTAAACAAGGAAATTTAGTTGCTGCCTTATCTCTAGAATTCCAGGAGCTATTGATCGAAGAAAGATCGGAAGTCGAGTTTGAGGTCATGTCACTTAGCGTAAAGTTTCTTCCTGGAGAAGAGCGCTAGAGGCCAGACTGAGTTGTCTTTTGTTGACACGAGGATAGGGCCACATATAGGAGGTGAAAGAAGTGCTAGCCTGGAAGTCTCCAATTTTTTATGAATATTCTCTGCAAGGTGGGTCGAACGACCTCAGGAAAAAAGCAGACTTTGTCTTGCTTTACTTTCAAATTGAACGCGTCGCCATTGCGCTGTGGATGCTGATCTTCTTCAGTGACCCTGGTATTACTGGGCGGCGGTTCCCAGCGTAAGGTCACTCTCGTGCTCATACAATATCTCGGAAGGGTCGGACTCAAAGGGGGTTCGGCTTTTGCTGTCAGAACTCCCGAACCCTTCATGCTAAGCTGCTGCTTGTTGAGATTTGCTAGTACACTTCCACCCAGTCCAGAACCCTGATGCATATGCCGGATGATCACTGTAAGGAACTAAGAGAGATCAGAAGGAACATGATGATGTCAGATCGTGTGTGGAGCTGTTTCGGGCTCACAGCATACAAGATACAAACTAAATATTTTAAAATCTTTACAACTCTACGTAGATGTCTACATTCCATCAGTTTAATAAGCCGGACATGCTCCAGCAAATGGCGACAAGTTTGTCCATAATACTTCCTCAGTGGCGCTGGGTTACAAAATCAGTTGGATTGCACTTGAGGTAGTTGGAGTGTGGGTCATCTTCAACTCAAAAAGCCAACCTCTCGATAGAGTGAATTACAAGCAGACCGCGGATTGAGGGAGCGTGCCCTCGCCTATCCGCTGGTTGATTCTCTATGTTGTTGGGCGTATGAAAGATCCTAATCAGAAGTGATTAAGAGGGGAGCTCAAAAATAGGTTCCAGAAAAATTGAAGTATCAGCCACGGAAGGCAGCATGTACATGGGCCGAGTAATCGCTCAGGTAGGATAATGTGGATGCTACTTCGCAAAACATGTTTCATGCCCTCACCATTTTTCTTGGATTTAATAATCAATAAATGTAAGTGATAACTTCGTATAGACAACATAATAGTAGATTAGGATAGTAGTAGAGTAGGAGATTGCGCTGACAAGATTAGATACGTATCGATTGAAATCGCTGGAGAGTAGTAGATTGCGATATTACGATAGTAGGATAGTAGTAGAGTAGGAGATTAGGATAGTAGTAGGATAGTGCGCTGACAAGATTAGATATGTATTGATCGATTCGCTTGAAGTCGCCCAATCTACTACTCTCCAGCGATTTCAATCGATATGTAAGCTTTCAGACGCAATTTCCTACTTTATCACCTAATATCTGTGCCTAGTATCCTAATCTCCCGAGTCGCGAACTATGAACGCGGCCTTAGAGGCTTCACGCTCTAAGGGAGATGGCCGCTTTTCTCGCATAATCAGGGAGTAGTATGTAGAAGAAGAGCGATTCAATGATAGTAGAAAAGGCTTCGATGAGGGACCTTCTTTTTGGGCGTCTCGCCACCTACATGCGAGGCCTATTAACCAAACACATCTACTTCATATGTTCCACAATCCTGTGGGATTCGATGATTTCGGAATGACTCCAACGCCTTGGCTAACTGCCCATGATAGTAACACAATCTGGAATATTCATTGAAAAAAATTAAACGCTGGAACACTTATTGCATCTGCTTGAATGTCACAGAACTAGATTCGGATGCGAGCTCACCTGTGGAGAAATTCCGTATTTAGCTGCTAATTGTAATACTGCTGGATGCTCAATTAGATCAGGGTTGTGCCGAGCCAAAGACGAATATGCCTAGAATAGCCCACTTATGTATTCCTCCACTTGACAATGTTTAGCATTGTTCAAGATAAAAGGTACAAAAAAAATCAATTTGGATCTGACCTGAAAGAAAATGCCGTTGTTCTTACAGTAATCCATAAGCTCTTGCCGGACAAAATGAGGATGAAATTCTACTTGATTCATGCAGGGCAAATCCTAAAAAGGAATAATATGTATGCTATGGGGGGACGGAGGAAGGCAGTGGCTGGAAGAATTTGCTGACGATTCTCTCACAAGCTGTGATTCTCAGGTTCCCAAACGCCCCGAGTGATGGACTGGGAGAACAGGAGGAAGTGTGGGATTTGGCTGCTTTATGCAATCTGTTGGGCAGAGCAAATGAGTAACCAAAAACCACTACTAATTTTCTCGAATGAGGGAAAAACGCACGGCGCATCTGGAAAGGGCTGATAGGTGTCGACACACTAGGCGCCTTTGGGTTGCTTGATATGATGGTTTCGAAAACCTCGGTCGAAAGGCCAAAAATAGACTCAAACCTGGCCGTAAGCTTTGATCTCCTCGATATGACGGACTTCATAGTTCGAAACGCCGACGGAACGAATTTTTCCTTCCTCTGAACGAACGCAATATTACTTGGGCCGAGCAAGAGGAAACAAGACATGTTGTTCAAGAAACTTCGCGAATAAAATCAAACCAGTATCAATTAGTGAATTATTATCATGAACTGATAAACTATCACAGCTAGATAATAAAATGACGACAAAGGAGTAAGAAGTAGCGGTCAAGGTCAACCCAGGGTCAGCCGTCGTGCACTTTTTTAAAAATTTCACGACCCCCCCTCTCCAGAAGGTTTCAACACGGCCCCCAACACCACATGTGAAAAGGCGATCACTCACACACACGAGGCTTACGCCCTTCCCTCTCACCTCCAGGACTGCTTCTATAGTGTTTGATTCAATTACCAGTCAACACGCTGCAACTCCGCCCACTTTCCCCACCAAGACTACGGTAGAGGGAAAGGGGTGACCATGGCAGGAGAGACGGCGAATGCTAGTTCTGCTTAGTCAGTGCATCTCGTGATGTTTGCGTCCTTTTATGTCAAAAACCCGTCAAAACGGCCCCCTCCCCCAGTAACAGCCCCTTCAACTCCCACAAAAATTGTATGTACGATCCGTTCGGACTTTTCGAGGTTACCTTCGCTCAGGTCAATATACAACCCTGATCCCATAATAGCCAATATCAACTTGAAGCAGGTCTTATGATCACTACGTGTACGTACCTTTCAATTGCTCCAGTGCCAAATAAGTGGTCTTTCTATGCAACGCATTGTCAGGATCGTTCAGTGCAGTCCCCTTAGTCTTTGGGAAATGAATAAGGACCATATCGATATAGCTGAAAGTCGATTAACTTAAAAGTAAGCGTCAAAACTTATGTAAAATGAACCTTGTTCGTAAATTACGAAGCGAGTCCTCGACCATGCTCAGAACATCTTCGCTCGAATCGCTCGGATATACTTTCGTCAGTAGAAAGACATCCTCCCTTTTGAGGTTATGTAGAGGAAGACACACCTTAATGGGATTTTCGAGGCAATTCTATAGGCGTTTTGTTTTCTCCAGTATTTTGAAGAAAATGTGCACTATTCGTAGTGAAATGTATCTACTGTTTAGCGTCATCGCAAGCTAGGATAGGCCTGGGAGGGGCAGAAACCCTCTAGAAAATGAAAAATGCTAACGCCCCCTGGAGCAAGATACAAAATCTCTAGGTGATATCTAGATTGCGTAAAGGATTTTCTCCTGTTCAGTCGCGCTCTCCCGAGCCGACATTCACTCTCGTCAGCGCAAACGTCTGTGCTCTCCTCTACGTACACTATCGGCAACCTTCTTAAACAAAAAAAATGCGATTTATGAGGTTCTGTAAGCATTGCCACCACAATGCCCCCTATCTTGCGATAGCGCCTACTATTTACTTTCCGAGAAAATTAAGCATACTGTCCAGTAGGTTACAAGGGCAGTTCTTTAAGGCAATAAGGTGATGGTCTAAGGACAGAGCAATTTTGGTGACGTCACTAACATGATGGCGGAAGAGCATTGGAACGTGGTACACACAACCAGGTCTCTCAGCGCACCGATGCTCATCATCGACGTCGAATGACGTCATCAGAACCACTCCACCCTCCAGTTATCGTCTTCAGGGCCATTGAAGGCTTAACCCGCACAACTCGTACGCAATAAATAACATTCACCTCTAGAGCGTCACCAAGATCCGATCGTTGTCATAGACTTTGGCCGTGTCAAACAGCCGATATCCGGCAGCCAGTGCAGCATTTACCGCTGGTTTCATCTTAAAGGAACAAAGAGTGTTTCGAACAGCTACGATTACAAAGTTCAGGCTGAGGACTATGCCGTCGGAAACAAGTTGGTCCTTCCGATCCTTCTCCACGATAGCGCTAGACCGCCCACCGAAAATTACGCTCTGCAGAATCTTTTGAAGATTGGCTCAAAAGTTCATCTGCCATCCTCCATATAGCCCAGGTAAATTTCTGAGGAGCCGCCAATTCCCCGTTTTTATCCTAGACTCTTGGAGGAGAAATTGCGTTGAGAACTGGGCATATCGAAATCGCCTCCTTTACATCTTAGGGCCCTACAACACTGAATTCATATCAGGAGGTTAGAGATTACGTGCTCATAACTTGGAAACAATATGAGAGCATAACGCCGTTTCATTCCGGACAAACCGCTTTTTTCTGCAAATGTGGTGCTATTCCAATGTGGAGCGACATCAGAAAGCGATTGATTCTGCTGCGCCCTAATAAAAGCGCAATCCACGATAAAGGCTGGCGGTACGGTCACTTCTAACATGATGCTAAAGGTTCTCTATCCGCGAAATACTGCTACTGAAAAGCTTATTCTAGACCCTTCTCTAGACGCCGGGGTGTCTCAAATGCTAGAAGAGTAGCCAAGGTTTTCTAGTTTGCATTTATTTTCCCTTAACTAGTGAAGCCATTACCTAATTCAATGAGTATCCATGTCTTATGTTTATTTGATGTTGCCTCTCTGTCCTGCCACTTCTAAAATGATGTTAAAGGTTCTCTATCCGCGAAATACTACTACTGAAAAGCTTATTCTCCCCTGCTCTGTCCTTCACCGAACCATAAGTAGTGCAGCAATAGGAATAATTCGAGAGATTCGCTCTAGACTACACGGTATGCCCCTTTGCTTGCCATTCACTTCTGGGCAATAAGAGAGTCCACACGATTGCTGACAAATACCGTGCTCTGCCTCTCTCCTGTGAGAGCTCGAGACTTGGTGGAATAAAAACGGCATCTGGGACCGCCATTCGAAGGCAGATTTAAGCTTGAAAAGGAGAGAAATTCGGTTTCTTGTGAGCTTGAAGCACATATTTCGTCTCTTGCTGTGTTTGGGCAGCTACTTCCAATTATATTATGAAACTTTTCCTTTTGACTGATTTGACCGACTTCAAAGAACAAAACACGATTGAATGGAACTACTTCAATTCCTCTCTCGAAAAATTTCGAACATTAACATCTGGGCCTCTAAAACTTCTTCACACTAATTCACAACCACCATTCTAAGAACTAATTTCTGTGGCTGTCTTCTCTTCATCAGGGTCCTTCATTCAATACGTGTCTTCGACACGTCACTTACACTTCTGATCGCCTTTACAACAATTGCTAATGGAAAATAGGTTTGAGCTTGAAAATGGGGTCAAACGTCAACTAAAATCTCAGAAGCACAAAATCAACGAGAATTTCGAAAAACAGTTATGGGCTGATTTCAAAAGATCACTCATTATACAAAGGAGATCTATGACTATCACGAACCAAGTCTCCTTTGATCTTGTAGGTTCCAAGACCAACTAGCGGTATTCTGTAACCGGTACGTAGTGTGTAACTGCCACCCACGTCAGCCAATCCTGCCATCTCTGAAAAAACGAATGTAAGCTTTAGGACTTATTCGAAATTGGTCGGATTGTTCCCGAACTCAGTCAGTGTATGTAAGAGTGCTTCTCTTCTACTTAAACTC